AGTAGTGAAGAATCAAACCAAACCAAATTAATCATTCATTTTGTTTTGCTTAATGTTGTCCTCAATGGCAACCCAAGAGGGGGTGATTTGGAAATTTGAAACTTTTTGCAACTTTTAAAATAAAATTGAAGAACACTCACAAACGATTCACAAGCAATTGAAACTAAGTAAATAAATTGCGAAAATTAAAAAAATAGAGTTAGAAATATCAAATACTTTGAATTTATCTAAGTTCATTACTATCTTTGGTGCCTACATCCAATCTTTGAGTTTTTGACACTTGAGATGTAATTTACTAACACTTTAGCTTCAATGGTTGCTAAAGAAACTGCTAAAATTGACAATAGCTTTAATGTGAGCTATCAACCTCCCTTTGTTAGAATCTCTTTTGGCTTAGATTACACAAAGCTATCTAATTCTCTCATAATTTATGGGTGTTATTGAATCGTAATAAGTGAGGAAAAAATTAAAAGTACAAAAATGATCTCTCAAAGATAGAATATGAAAATGCTAAAATCCAAGGTATTTGAATGACGAAGAAAACTTCGATTCTTTCTTGAATAATTGAGTACACTCTTGAACTTGAAAGCCTCCAAAAGATTCTATTTATAATAAAAGTTTTATCTTTTCAAAAAACTAGCCATTATACTTTAATATGGAAAGAATTGAATTTGTAATGTCAACCTTGAAATTTTAAACTAAGGTTTCAGAACCTTTATATGGGTGTCGGTAACTTTTTGGAATTTTTCCAAACATTGCAAGCTGAATGTAAACTAAGGTGTTGAAACCGTACTTCAAAGCGCGCAATACTACACAGAATCAGAATGTTCAAAAGCTCTAGCATCTGAAGGTGTCGCAACCATGACATGAAATGTAGAACACATGAAATCAAAATGTTCAAAAGTTCTGGCAGCTAAGATAAGGAATTGGTACCTTTTTCAAAATCTTTTGGAAATACTTGAATGAAGGAAAATCAAACTCCTTTTGAAAGCTTTTTATTTTTTGGTACATTAGAGGAGGAAACTTTTTGACTTTGAAGCTTGAACAATTCAAGGGAAGACAAGTGAGGATTAAAAATATTAATTAAGACAATAATTTCAAATATGAATATATTGGATTTTGCATTGTGCGTGAGTAAAATCATTTTGAAAAGATTCATTTCACATTGAAAGTTTGTGTACAAACAAAATGACTTAAAAAAGAAAAGAAAAGAAAAGAATAACTAATGATTTGTTAATTTAAATAGAAAGAATTCAACTACTTTTAAGTATAGTCTTGAATTCGAGTTTTATTAATGAAAAAACAAATATTAAAAAAATTTCTTCTTATAAGATCTGACTCGACTTAATTATGAATTAGTTAAGATTTAATGTAATTTCTAGATCTTGAAGGATTAGTATTAAAAAAAAGGGAATAATGCAAGAAATAATTTACTTTTATATTTAAAGAGTATGTGAAAAATAATTCGTTATGTTTAGTGCATCAAAATTAAAGTCACACATAAGAGTGTTCATATTTAATTTAAGCAAATTGATTCCAGTTAAATCAAACTAAACCAATCAAAAATTGGTCCAATCTGATATACATTGAATTGGTTTGGCTGGTAAAATTGAAAAATCATTTTAATTGGCATGGTTTTTACTTTCACCGGTATTAATACAAATTGATTACCAAATATATTATTAAAAAATATTACTTTTTCCTAAATAAGCAAATTTTATTTTCAAACTTACAATAAAACAAGTTTCATTTTTTAACTCAAGAACATCACGGTGATTATAATGAAATAGCATCAAGGGAATCATCTAACAAAATCAAATAATTATTATGTATATAACAAAATGAAAACCAAAAACCAAAACTCAGAACCCAACCAAACATGGCCTAACTTAATATAATTTTTATTTATTTATTTTAGATAGTAAATCCCATAACCAAACACACTACATCCGCAAAAGTATATTATGTGATTCAAATTCTTAAAGTATGTTTGATATGTAGTTTCTTTTAAAAAAATTCTAGAAAGCCCAAAAAATAAAAAATAAAAAGACTTGGCTAGGCTTAGAAAATTTTTTTCCCTAAATACATAAATTTAGGTGTATTACAATTGATTATAAAAGGAAGGTAATCGAGTACACTGCAACTTTCCTAAAAAACTTGTTTAGCAAGATATTTTAAATTATATTATTTTAATAAATTTTTAAAAAAAATTAAAATATTTTATTTTTAAAATATGAATTAAAGTATTTTTTTATTTTTTTATAGTATTTTATTAAAATAACATATTTTTCTTAATTTTTAAGAAATAAGATAAATAAATATTAATTTTTTGTATAAATAACTTTTATCTTCTTTAATTTTGGATTCATATATAAATAATTGTCTTGATTCAAGGTTTAAGTATTGGAATAAACACTTAAAAAAATTGATAGACAATGATATAAGGATAATTTTTTGTATTATTTTTTACGTAACTTTTACATATTATTAAATAAGTTAATATATTCAATATCACAAATTTCAAATGAATAAAAAAATTAATCATTTAAATAACACATAAGATTATATAAAAAAATGATATAAAAATGTTGTTTTTAAATCATTTTCTAAAATTGAATACCATATAAGAATTGCACTTCGAAAATTACTCAAACAATAATTAGTTTTAAAATGCTCAAAAATTAATGTAAACATACTATTACTATAAATACGAAAAAAAATAAAAATGATAACTCATAAAGGTCCCAAAGCCCAAAAAGGAAAACTCATAACGTGGGAAAGGCCAAATAAATTTTTAAAAAATCCTACTGTGCAAACGAAAATAAAAAATTGGAATGGACATTTTCCTTTTTTAATTAATTTTCTATTTTGATGAAAATTCATGGTGAGACCTCCACTTTACCGCCTATGAAACTATCAGTCTCTCAACTTACAATATAAAAGTTTTAACTCCTCATTCTTACAACGCAAATGAAAACACTCAAAATAGACGACAAACTAACATGCTTGTTAATATTCTGTTGTTCATTACCATGTCAGTAGCAATGTGGCAATTTATTGCCATCATGGACCATCACCATGGATAATAATTTCAATAAGAGTGAGGAAACTCTTGTTTACTCATAAAGTCACCCCATATCAATCTATTTAAAAATTAAAAATAGAAGAAAAATAATTTAAGGATAATTTTTTATATCACTTTTTTATACAATTTTATGCATTATTTAAATAATTGATTTTATTTATTTATTTAGAATTTATGATATTGAAT